CAGTGAAAAAATATATTTAAATCTTTGTTCACTTATTGAAAATCCGTAAAAAAGCAAGTTTTAAATTTACATACTTTTAAAATAAATTTATTTACATGATATATAGTTAAATATGTAACAAAAAAATTTTAAAACAGAAGCAAAAATATTTTAAAACATTTTTTTAAAAAAACAATTAAAGTTGAAGCACCGAGGAGCCAAGCATAGCCTATTGTAAAGACAACCATATTGAATAATTAAAAATATTTATTACCAATAGGGACGACAATTAAATATATTTAAAAAGCTACGTGAATCCATATTAGTAGGATTGTTAAAGAAAAGTAAATTAGTAAAAGTATAATAAAAAAGTATATTAAAAAATACATATATTAAATAGAAAACCGATTTTTAAACACTACCTAATTTTGTAAGCATTTTGGCAATAGTGTTCAATTTTGAAACCAATATCTTTAATGGAAAGCCGACTTGTTTAACTAATCTCATTTAAAGGAACAAAACTATTAACACTTAAAGATAAAGAAAAAAAATGAATAAGATATAAACAATCGTACTATAGTATTATATAGATAAGTAGATATATATATATATAAAAACAACAACTGGAAAACAATATACCTGCTTATGGTAATATATTGTGATACTACAGCAGTTGCTGTAGGATGCAGCAGTTCTTGTCGGTGTTGTTCAAAAGCGTTATTTTTATGTTGGCTTTTAGTAAACTTTAGTTAATTTAAAGACATCACAATGGATTTAAAATATTCCTTATAAAAAGCTAAACATAAAATGCTTCAAGGAGCATAACTATAAACATTAAAGATAAAGAATCGAATCGAGATAAAAGTAAATTGTATTTACATAGCTAAATACATTGCCTTTTGGTTTTGGTAAATTTTAAAAGCAATGAGTTCAATAAATGAAACTACCAAATAACTATTTTTAACATTAGCATGCAGCATCATTATATTATGATAATTGGATAATGAATCAATTTAACAGTATTTTGAAGTTCAGGTTTAATTGGTAAGAAAACATTTAAAATTTCATTAAAAAAGATCAAAACAAATCAAATATACAACATAGTATATAATTAAAAAAAAAAATTACAAAATTAAAAAAAAAAACAAAAAAAAAAACGCCGAAGAAAAAGAAGCAACCAAAAAGTCATATCTTCACTGATAGAAGACATTCACAACCTTTTGGTTGCTATTTTTTCTTGTTGTCTACTGTGTTGGCATTAAAATCTTTAGGATAATTTTTGCTGCACTCCCCATTTTTCATGCAGGGAGAATTTGGATTCAGTATCCCACATGGGCCGTGAATCATGCAAGTTTTAATAATATCATAAAGTTCACGATTACCTATCAGATCTGGAATTTCTGCACCTATCAAATTATCGATATCCTGTGATGTTTCAAGTTTATCATCATTTGCTAAATGAAGTAAAACGTGGGCATGCAGCAAACCACGCTTTTGAAATCAATAACCTGAAAATGCGTTATAACTTTGCCTAATACACCATGTTTGAATATATCATTGAGGAGGTTATTTAACTTGAGTTTAAATACTCGAGTAACCAAATCAGGTCTATCATTCGCATTCTGACCCGGATATAAATTTTCTGTTATTTCATGCCATTTTGGGTTGCAAGTAAAAGTAATAAAAAGATCTGGTTTACCATACTTTTTAATAATTATTTTTAATCTTCAAAGTTTTCTTCAAATCTTCAAAGTTTTCTTTTAAAGCTCTAGGACTTTCTAAATAAGATGATGGCAAAACTACTACTCGTCCTGGTCTAACATTACGATCATTCGCAATGTTGTTAATATATTCATGTAAGGCATCATACTGCTCGCTTCTCAGCTTATTATGATTATTTCTGATAAAAGCAAGACGCTGGCCTTCAATTTTTATATATGCATCTACAGCATATTGCTGAAATAAAAGCAATATGCTGTAGATGCTTATGTTCATTATTTTATTGCCATAAAATAATGAACAGAGAAATTGCCTAACAGAAAGTCTATAATTGTAGAACTGATATAATGTAACATGATTTCAAACCAGTGTGGCACGCTCAGGGTCATGCGTCAACTGATTATGCCAACCAGCATCACCTCTTGGGAAAAACAGGCGGATAAACCATAGGATCCAAGTTGGCTGTCATACTTGATACAATTTTTAAAGGATGACCTAATGGGTAAATAACAACTTCCCTGGAAGTTGGGGAGCACCATCTTCGCCAACAAATACAACTGCAACTTCATCATGTGAATGTAGATTATAACGACTTCTATCATCGCCTTTAAGTAATGACATTTTTACAACAGAAGCTGAGCGACCTTCTATAGCCGCCTTACGAATTTCTTAATCTTCTACTTCAGCCATGTTTTAAAATGCAAGAGCAAATGGACTTTGTTCCATAATTATAGTTTGCAATTGGAACATTAAATCACGTAAACAAAAATCATTACCATGTTGTTGCATTCTAAAATTTAGTGCAGCAAGTGGATCATAAATATATAGTTGAGAATATATTGGTGGAATATCTTGATCTGGCCTAAGATTACCTACACGATGAAAAAACTGGCCACATATTTTAAAACATGGAAGCCCATGATTCATTGGTTGAACAACATTTGCTGTAAAAGAAGCAAAAGAAAAGCAGGCATTATAATTTCGAATATGTTTTAAAAAATTAGCATTAGCATAACGATCTACATAACTCCTTGTAGACAAATCCTGTAAAGCTTGTGTAATTAGTGAAAGTGGAGACAAAGCTACCTTACCATTATGGCAACATAGAAAATGTGTTTCATTTGGAAATTTCTAAGCACCACAGTGCTGACATTTCTCCTAACATTCTACTGACATTTCTCCTAAATATAATTATAATCTGGATTAGCATTACTTCTCGCTATAGAATACATTCGTCCTTGTCCAACAGCTCTTCTTTGATTTTGGCGACCAATAACATTATCTCGGTCAAGCCTATTTCTTTCATTTTGGCGACGATTAACATTATTTCGATCGAGCTTATTTCTTTCATTTTGGCGACGATTAACATTATCTTGATCGGACCTATTTCTTTCATTTTGACGATAATTAACGTTATCTCGATTAAGCCTATTTCTTTCATTTTGTAAATGATTAACTTTATCTCGCCTAAGTCCATTTCTTTCATTTCCTCTACGATTATTTTCAAACGCCTTATAGCACTTACATCATCTTGTAAATACATAACTTCATCTAGCCTATAATCCATTTCAATGCCATCATTTTCATTAACATATTTATCAAAGAAACACTAATTATTTCTTTTTTTCTATCTAAAGTTTTTTTTTTTTATCTAAAGTTAACAATAAAATAAAAAAAACTTAATAACTAAAAAAATCATACTCGAAAGATTAAAAAAAAAATTATCAAAACAAATATATATAAAGAAACCAAATAAATGCAAAATAAAATTAATTTGCCATCATCAAAAGTAATACAGGTTTTTTAAGTTTATATATATATATATATATATATATATATATATATATATATATATATATATATATATATATATATAGAACATATATATATATATATATATATATATAAATAAACCTCTACAATTTCTTTGGTTCAACAACTCGATTATGATTAATAACAACTCTGTAAACATGAATTTTCTAATACTTTAAATCCTAATAAATTATAAACACTTAATTACTTATTTAAACAAATAACTACTTAATTTTAAAAATTTTAAAAAGATTTTATATATGCTTAATGTCTACTTAGACATTGAAATACTTAATGTCTATTTTGACATTGAAAAGATCTACAATTTTGAAAACCTGAAACTTTAAATCTACTTCAAAGAAAACAGATATATACTAAAAAGTATTTTTATTATTTTTTTTTAATTTTAAAAATGCTTTTTAACTTACTCCCTTTTTTTGGTTTAACAACTTGATTATGATTAAATAACAACTCTATAAACATGAATTTTTTAATAATCTAAATAAATTAAAAACAATTAAACTTAAATAAAAATGTATGCAAATGATAAATGCTTTATTAAGTACAGAAAAACAAACATATAATAACACAATTATATCCTAAACCAAAATTCATTAATGCAAGACAAATTGTTATATATTTATTGAAAAGCCAGAAACATATTTTTTTTCAAAGAGTCAAAGTATTAACAATACTATAGATAAATTTTATTTATAACAAAATTATGTCATGGCTTTTATTCCAATTATTAAAAGCAAGAAACTACCCATAAATATCTTTTAACGGTAGACACCATCATAATATCTATATTTTCAATATTAACATCTATAACACGAAGCTTTAAATTCAAAAGTACAATTAAAAGAGATTACAATAAATTAATTACTTATATAATCCTTAAAATTTATTTTGTACGCCTAATTATATATAATTTGATAACAACTATCAAATAATTTTAATTTTTAATGTTGGTCAAAGTTAAGGCTCACTGCTTAATTTTAAAATTTTAGGTAATATAATGATTTTCTTTAATAATTTTTATTTTATTCTTATCTGCATTTATTATTTCTAGTTTTTTTTGTTTGAAATAATACTAAAAAAATTAAATAATAAAAAGTTACAAAATGAGCAAAGAAATACAGTATGAAACTTCAAAATCACGATCAAGAATCTCTGAAAAAATACGATATGAATCAATTTTTCTTTGAAACCAAGGGCTATCTCATAGTCAAATAGCAAATGAGTTAAATATCGCATATTTGATTATTGCACATATTTTAAAACGTTTTAGTGAAACAGGTGACATTAAGGACAGACGCCGATCTGGTCGGCCAGCTGTAACAACACAAAGAGATGAACGTTTGTTAATTCGTTTAATGAAACATGACAGAAAGTTACCGTCAAACGCTCTCTGCCATAAATTAAATAATAAATATAAATCAAAAATGAGTTAAAGAACTGTTAGAAGAATTCTTCATAGAAATAATTACATGTGGCGACCTGCATGTAAGAAGCCAAGACTTTCAAAGAAACAGCAAAAACCAAGGGTTGCCTGGTGCAATCAACATAAAAATTGGCCTAATTGCAAGTGGCAAAATGTTATATTCTTCGATGAAATGAATGTTGAGGTAGATGGCTGTGTTATGCTACGGCGATCACCTCAAGAGTGATTTGATTCAAATTGTACATTAAAATGAACTAAGCAAGGTAGTGGCAGTAAAGTCATTTGGACCTGCATGAATTATGCAGGACTTTGATGCTATCGATTAATTGAAGGTCGACCTAATGCTAATAGATATATTAAAATTTTAGATAATTGCCTTCTTCCCTCAATTGATATATTTAAAGAAAAAAACAGCAATATTTTATATAATATATTAAGTAACAATGTTTAATGAGTATTTGATAACTTGCTGCAAAATATATTTTAATTTACTTCACTAGTATTTTTTTAAAACGGTTTTGCTGGAACTCTTTCACCTGCCTTTCCCCTCCAATTAAACAACTATACATTAACAAATAAGAAGAACAAAGGTAACCTTTTATTAAAGTATTTTGAAGAATTATTATAAAAGGTTTGAAAAATTTATTTAAAAGCTCATATAAAGATGTATAATAAAGTTGTATAAAATTTCTTATCTTTGAACACTTATAACTGCCAATTATTATTCAATACTTTTCAATTCTTTTTTTGTTTTGTTTTAGATATTTTTGAAAAAGAAAATCAGCAAGTGCTAGCACCATATCGAGTTCAAGTGATTATTTAAAAATAAACATTTAATGTCCCAGTTTGTTAACAAAAAGGTAAATTTAAAAATCTTTCAAAAAATACTTTCTTTTTACATGTTATTCAATAAGTTTAGATGATTATGAAAATAAAAACTGTTTGTTAAAGCAACATCCTGCAGCAGCAAAACGCCTGATTTAGTTAAAACGATATCAGCAGATGCAAGTATGTTTATTATTATTATTTTTTTTTGTGCTTGATCATAAGAATATGTCAAATAAAATTTGATAAAATTTTTATTATGCAAATTAAGACACTAATTATTGAAAAATTATTACTTATACGTTTTACTTGTTATCTATTTTCACCAATGTTGAAAAATGCTGGTCTGAATTCAGCATTAGCTAGTTTTGGCATATGTTTTACTTGTTATCTATTTTCACCAATAGCTGGTCTGAATTCAGCATCAGCTAGTTTTGGAAACACTTGCAAAAATGCAACAAGAAGTTTTACGCATTTCTCAAGTGCAACAAAATAAGTTTAATGCTTTGCAAATATTGGTTGCAGTAAAGAAGAGTGATCTACCAGAGTGCATAGAGTTACCCGTTAAAACTCTACCGGAGCTCAAAGCTTTAAAAAGGAAAGATGAATTTAATTCAAGCTGTTGTAAGATTTAATTTAAAATTTCATTTGAAATATGAATTGCATATAAAAGTTAGGCCTTTTAATTAATCACTTTTTTTAGATTAATTACATTTTTTAAATTAATCACTTGGGAATGATAGGATATAGACAATGATGGCGACAATAACTAATGTATGTGTATAAAACTTTACAATATTTGAAATACTCGCTTGTTCAATGTATGTTTTTGCTGTATTTTTTATTTATGTTTCAATTTACTTTTCATACTTAAAACAAAAGACTTTTTTTACTTAATTCTTAGAGTTTGTTATTATTGAAATTAAAGTGTTTTGATAATCATCAGCATCATTAATTATATAATTTATAATTTTAATAATAATATAAGTGAATATATATTTATATATATATATATATATATATATATATATATATATATATATATATATATGTAAATATAATTGTATATATATATATATATATATATATATATATATATATATATATATATATATATATATATATATATATATACATTTATATATATATAAATATATATATATATATATATATGTAAATATAATTGTATATATATATATATATATATATATATATATATATATATATATATATATATATATATATATATATATATATATATGTAAATATAATTGTATATATATATATATATATATATATATATATATATATATATATATATATATATATATATATATATTACATACAACTTTATGACTTGTTATTTAATTTTTAAGGTTATAATGCTTTTAAACGCTAAAAGCCATTTTAGAAGCTATTATTTAAAGCAGTTTTTTATTAATAGTAACTTATGTTGTAATATTAGAAATGAACTGAATTTTTAATATTAATAAATAAACATACAGCTTTTAATTTCTATCTAAAATAATGACTAAAATAATGACATAACTTATATAGAACTGTAATTATGTAGGTAATAACTATGTAGTTGTATATGTTTTATTTGTGTATGTACTTAATAGTTACATATTTAGTACAATATTTTTATACATCTCATACAAAACTAGCCAAATGATTGTATCATGTCAGATTTCTTATGAGTTGTTGTATATCTAAGTTTTGCTAAATAGTTGTAACAATTTTATTTCAAAAAATAAAAAGATTTAATCACGAGAAGAAGTGGTTATTAAAGGATTCAGAAAGATTGAATCATGAGAAGTGGTTATTAAAGAATTCTGAAAGATTAAATCACGAGAAACAGTGGTTATTGAAGGATGCAGAAAGATTGAATCACGAGTAGAAGTATTAATTAAAGGATTCAGAAAGATTGAATCGCGAGAAAAAGTGGTGATTTTATATCAAAACATGAAAAGATTGAATCACGAGAAGAAGCGGTTATTAAAGGATTCAGAAAGACTATTTTAGAGAAATATTCAACACCGAAACATTTGAAAATATAGTCTTTGAGTCCAACCGGTACAGTTTACAAAAAGACATTAACAAACCAGTTAATATTTCGTTCAATGAGCTCAAGCAATTTTTTGAATAGTTTTCTATTTGAGTGTGCATCGTCTACCTCAAGTACAGTTATATTGGAGCCCGGATATAAGAGTTGCAAAGGTGGCTGATATATATATATATATATATATATATATATATATATATATATTATATATATATATATATATATATATATATATATATATATATATATATATATATATGAGTGATGAATGTAAAAGCTTGATATACCAATATATTACAAAAATGTATTTCTAAACTTGGAAATGTATAAAAAACGTTTTGGCTATCCGGAAAAACTTAAAGCTGAGAAAAATTCGGAAAAAGATTAGTGTTATTAGAACTCTTGCCCTAATAATTTTAAAGAAAAGTAAATTTTACATGTAAAATCTTTTTTCTATAAAAAAGAAAGTTATCTCTTTAACGCGAACACTTAACTTATCACCAAGCACATAAGGACCTTAAACTCGAACGTGACATGAGCGCGCAACAAACTTCGAACGGTATTTTCGTGTTTATAGAAATTTATAAAACTTTTTAGAGAATTCTCACCTTTTTGTTTGTTATAGTATATCTTTGTATATGATATGCATATAATCTCTATATACCTTTAAAATTGCTTTACTTTGATAAAAAAATTTAGCGTGAAAACGAAAAGGTTTAGACCCACGCGAATCAACTTTGGCATGCTATAATACTATCTTTTAATAAACTTATTGAACTTTATAGAACAAGATTAAACTGTTTATAACCTTTAAAAAACTTTATAAAACAACATTAAATGCTTTATAAAAATTCATGTGAATCAAATTTTAGAAAATTTCGCCTTATAAAATTTTTGAGTTAAAGTAAATGAGTAACATTTAATATTATCTTATTTACATAACTTAAAGTTTACATCAGATATTTACATAGACTTTCAGATAAAATAAGAATGATGAAGGATTGTGGTTTTAAAAAAATGTCTAACAGCTTTGTAAATTTGAAGATATTTTTATTAGCACACTTATCAAGAAATTCAAAAAGTATAACAATTTTTCATAGTTTTTTGATCAATTGTATGACTATATTGAACTAACAAGTTATCTGATTAATCTAATAAGAAAATGAATTAAAAAAGGAAAAAAATACACAGAATTAATTAAATAAATTTATTTATACATAATAATAAAACAAAATATATAAAGAAAGTTATGTATTTATAAAAAAAACTAACTCATTTATAATGAATATCAGTTAGAAATTAGTAGATTAACCAACAAAAATACTAATTATAGACGCTGCGTAGTTTTTTTCCTTCCACCCTCTCTACTCATGCTATAATTTTTACAGGATCAACACTATATTTAAAAGAAAAGAGAAGGTCAAAATTTTGACATAAGTTTATGCCCCTATCTTGTGGGCCCTATTTGATCATCAATAAGCTGAAAAAGCATTCTAAGTTGTCTAAAATAAAAAAACTAAGACATGAAAAAAGAAAACATTAAAGATTAACACCAAAAACCAATTTACATGTTGCTGATGCCTTTTCTAGAGCATTGGTAAAAACAGTCAAAATCTGTAAGATTGGACATTTATTGCAAAAACAATAAGTTATTACACAAAATAACAAAATCACAATAAATATCAGTTCAAACAAATAATGCAATTTGATTAGAAAATAAATTAATTTTTACCTTAATTGTGACAACTAAATTTCTTTAAAACTATTAGCTAATGATCACCTTAGCAAATTTTAAGTTAAAACCGTATTTTAACAGTAGAGAAAAAATAAACTTATGATAGTTGGTGGAGCACCAGAATAGGCCTAAAGAAATAAAACAACTAAATTTGCTATGCGATGTTTATTATACCTATTGCGTTCTCGCCTAGCCTGCTTTCTTTTATTTTGATTGCAATTTATCTCAGCTTACCTAGGCTCATCTCTTCAATTTTGACAACAATTTATCTCAACTCGCCTAACCTGGTTCCTTTTTTTTTCGAGTAAGTATAATAATTTTACATCTGAAATTATCAGACAATATTAGGCATCAAAGAAGTGGGTATAAAAATGATGCTTAAAATAAAAAGTTTAACTTTTATTTTTAAATTGAACCTTGACTTTTCTTTCTTCAACTCATCTAAAATCAAGTGTAAGCAAATAAAACAGCATAATATAATATTCTACTCAGTATATGTATACATACATACATATTGTATATTGTATACTACTATATATATATATATATATATATATATATATATATATATATATATATATATATATATATATATATATATATATATTTATATTTATATATATATATCTTTTGAACAAATTTACTTGTATATATCTTTTGAACAAATTTTACTCAAAAAGTAACTATTACTCAAATTACCTTTCTTATCACATTCTTTTAACACTTCTTTACCTTCTTTTAACACATTACAACAATTCTTTTTAACACTTTTTATGACTACACTAACTACAAACAGATTTAATTTATGTATTGCATCATAACAGTACACCACTTAACTGGCATGGACATCAATCTAGCTCCCAACAAAGCCAAGTAACATTATAGCAAGGTACGCCACTTGGCTAGCAAAATCAACACTCTTGCTGCAAACTAAGCCAAGCCATAACAATTTGAAAAGATATTTACAAACGCATAAATGATATTTAGACGCTTACAAAATAGAAACCCATATAACCTTATTACATAAACATAGATAACATAAATATAAATAAACAATATAATAAAATAACATAAGATATAAAATAGATAAGATAAAAATAGATATAAAAGATATAAAATAACATAAGATGACATAAATATAAATAAACAATATAATAAAAATATTTAAATTAAGAAAAATATATAATTTAGAATCTTCACAAATACAACCTTATCTTTGTAAAATTTGTTTAATGATTATTATAGAAAATGTTTAACAACTTGGAAAAACAAACGATCTGGTTTTTTATATAAAAGCAACTAGATCTTTTCAAACTTGTTTAAAGGTAAGTTATTAAACGTTGTTCTTTCTTGTTCTTTAACATGTAGCTGTGTGAGATGCAAGAGCTTAAAAGATATATGTATAACACTAACTTTTTTAAGAGTTTCACCTCTTGAAAAAAGCAATGTCTTTTAAAGTCATCATCGTCTTTTAATTTAAAAATTAAAATATGTTTATTTTATTACTAATTAAGTTGATGAAGGAAAGTTTTCGTTTTTTTTTTGTTTTTTTTTTTTTTTATTTTTAATTATTCACTTCCCCAAGGCCCGAGGGGACCACTACAGTCGAGGAGGCTACTCATTTTTTTATTTTTAATTTTTTTTGTATTTTGTTGTTGTTGTTGTAAATCGTAGTACAACCCTCTCTCAACTCTTTAACTCCGAAACACGAACCTTGACAAGCAAGGCCGCTGCGCGGAGAAATTAAGTTGAGCGCCGTACTTCCAGGGACATGGCGGGAGTCGAACTCCGAACCTCTTGCTTACAAAGCGAGCGCTCTTACCACTACACCACTACCGCATATCTTAATACTGATTAAGCAGATATTAACAGATTATTAAGATTCAAGAGTACCTCATCGCGTGGTCAAAAACATCTAAAAGGCTAAGCATACTCATAAAACTCCGTGTAAAAACGCACACGAATGGTATGCAGCACCAGCGTTAAGTTAAACAATAGTATAAAGCGATTCTAAAAGTAAAATTAAATTATTATTTTAGGTATGATCACACCAGAGTTGCATAATAGGCTTTACAATTCATAATAGGCTTTACAACTATCTCTCAACTTACAAAGTTTTAAATAATAATCAGTACGGATTTAGAAAAGGACACTCGACAGAACATGCAGTAATTAAATTAGTTAAAGAAATATTAAATGGGATTAAAAACAACCAATATACTCTTGGGGTGTTTATTGACCTCACTAAGACCTTTGATACTATGGACCATGATATTCTTCTTTACAAACTTGAAATTTATGGAACCAAAAATAATAATTTTAAATGGTTTTGTTCCTATCTAAAAAATCGCAAGCAATGCGTATCTTATGACAAAACTTACACTAAATTAGAAAACCTTACTTGCGGAGTTCCACAGGGATCTATTTTAGGGCCTTTGTTGTTTATTATTTATATCAACGATATTTACTTATCATCTAGTATACTAAACTTTAATCTTTTTGCTGATGACACTCAAGTTTTTTATACTCACTCTAACATTAAGACAATCTTTACCACTATGAATAGTGAACTTGATAACCTTAATGAATGGTTTAAAGCCAACAAACTCTCTCTGAATCCTACTAAAAGCAAATATACTCTCTTTTCTAAATCCTCTAAATCTGAAACGTTGCCTTTAAAACTCCCAGATATTTTAATAGAAAAAACCAAGTTACAACGGACATACTGCGTTATATTCTTAGGCGTTTTAATCGATGAGCAAATAAATTGGAAAGAGTATATTAATCTAATAGAAAATAAAATTTCAAAAAGTATTGGAATCATGTATAAAACTAGATATATGTTGGATAAAAACTGTTTAAAATATATTTACTTTTCATTTATTCATAGCTATATTAGTCATTGTAACATTGCTTGGGCAAGCACTTATCCGTCAAGACTAACTTGTATCTTAAAAAAACAAAAACAGGCAAGCCGCCTTATATTAAATGTTAATAAATACGCTAGTGCCAATCCCCTGCTTCGTAAGCTTGGAGTACTGAATGTTTACCAATTAAATATCTATAATATTCTTTTATTCATGTTAAGATTAAAATATCATATGCTACCTATTATTTTTGAAGACCTTTTCTTTATTATAGATCATAAATATCATACAAAGCATTCATTGCTTAATTATCAGGTACCAAAAACTTTGTTAAAACAATCTGAATTCTTAATAATTTACCGAGGGCCACGTTTGTGGAACTCATTTCTCCTAAATAATTGTAAACTACAGCTTCAATCCAAACATTTAAAAGTATCTAATAAAAAAAGTTACTTGATTATGACGTATCTCAAATATTATTTTATTTCTAATTTTTATTTTGTCCTCTCTTATTTTTATTTCGTTAACTTTTCATTTTGTTTAAAAAGCGGCATCACACTTTATATCATTACTTATCTTTATATTTCGATTGTATTTGGGGAAAAAAAGGAAAAAAAAAAGTATTTAATATTATTTTACTGAGATTGTAATATATATAAACATGTGTATGTGTATGTGTATATGTGCATGTGTATATATGTTTATGTACGTATAAGTACGTGTATGTGTCAGTGATCATCCAGGTCGTTTTTTAAAAATCCGGAAAATACAGTTTATGTAAAATATCCGGAAAAATCCGGAACATATTTTCCCTTACTAATCTCCTAATTTTGCTCTCAGCTGGTAGGTTTCAGAATTTTTATAGACATTTTTGACATTTTTTTTTATGGCTGATCACTGAAAACGAAAAATGTATATACATTAAAACAAATATTATATAAACTTGAATGTATGAGAAAACATTTTGGATATCCGGAAAAACTATATTTTGGAAAAAATGTCCGGAATTCCGGAAATATCCGGAAAAAGATATTCCCTGATGTGTGTATAAGTATATATATATATATATTTTCTTTAATATAAAAACAGAGTTAAAAGGAGTCTGTCAATATTGTCATGACAGAAGCAATTTTAAATGCGAAAAGTTGTGATGTTGTTCTACACCCTGGTTGCTTTGTAAACTACCACAGACCTGAAAATAAGTTACAAAAAAATTTTTTATATAATTTAATATTATTTTTAAGAATAGCAATTTTTGATTAATCTGATAATATTAATACGCTAATATAATAGTAGTAATAATCGGCTTACGTCATTTTCTAGGCTTTTCGATTTTAAAGTAGTTTCTAGACTTTTTTTATACGCGGTTTTTTTTTTTAATTTAAATTACTAACAACCCGTATTACGGGTTGCTTATAGCTAGTTTTTATTATTTACCCTATTATGCAGTTATGTATGAAAATTTCTATAACCCGAACTTGCAGTGATTATCAATAGGTTTAGAGTATGTACATTAAATTAAATTTTTTTCTTTTTGTTTTACGCCAAGTGCTGACACGTCCATAAAAGGACGTGGGTGTTTTGGGGTGTTAAACAAAAAATACTAGAGCTAATTAAACCACTGCAAGTATACTCATTTACTCCCACCCCTAAGCAACATGTAAAATTAGTTTCAAACAAAAAAACAAAACAAAATTTCTCCGACACTAATGGGTTAAGCTATAAAATGATATATATTAATATAACTTTTGATAATGCATTTTTTTACTTTAGTCCACCACCTGGCCCACTGTGCGTTTGGTTTAAGTTAAATGGTGAATATAATAAAACACGGCAGTATTCTTATGTTGACATTCCACAGTAAGTAATTGCTATGTCTATAGACCTTTCCAACTTAAAGTTCTACCATTTTGCGCGACGGGGACTGTACTCTAATTGTGGTGGTAAAAATATGAATATTCGATAAACTTTTTAAATATTTGTAAAAACTTAGCATTTATCTCTGTTATTAAATTCAACACGATTGGAGGAGGTAACTGTGCAGTCATAGGTTGTTTGAATAGCCATTATAAACTTTTTAAGTGGAAAAAACAAAAATGTAGTGTTCATGAAAGTTTGAAAAAAGAACATTGTGGTTGTAATCGTCCTTTCAATCTTTACTGTTTTCCAAGTTCTTTAAGAAATTCTAGAGAAAGAGAAAAGTGGAAAATTTTATTAAAAAGGGAAGGAAAAAATAGGAAAAAATGGAATCCATGTGACAGTGATCGTGTATGTTCTATTCATTTTGTAGATGGAATACCTACCATTGCAAATCCACATCCAACTTTACATATGGGATATAATTGTACCGATATAAAGACAAGAAGAAGTTTATATAAGCGTTTTCCAAAATCAAACTTTTCAGCTTCGATAGGTATTAGCACAGACAATAAAATGAACAATTATACAACCAAAGATAGTACCAGTGAGTTATTCAATACCAGTGTAAAATCAGAGTTATGTAATACCAGTGAGTTATATAATACTAATAATGATGATACAATTTATTTACCACCACCAAGCTGTGAACATTCATATGCTAGACATTCATTGTTAAATATGTGCGAAGGATGTAATACAAAAACCTCTTTAATTGATTCTCTTGTTAAAAAAATAAACTCCATGAATATATCCTTGAAGCAACTAAATCAAAAACAAGTTAATCAAACTAATAAATTATCAGTTTTTTCATGCAATAAAGTAAAAACAGACAAAATAATGAACTTTTAGACAGGGATCTCTACAAAAGCTATATTTAATGCTATCTTCTCACTTATTATACCTTATTATACCTTTAAGCTAAGATACTGGCGAGGACCCAAACATGTTCAGATTTTTGGCAAGTTAAAGCGCAAATTTCATTCACCTAAATATAGAAAACTTACTCACCGTGATGAATTTTTAATAAAACTAATGCGACTTTGTCTTGGAATTTTTAATGAAGACATTGCAGAACGATTTGGAATTTCTCTTACTACTTCTTCTAACACATTTACTACATGGATTAAACTTTTAGGCAGTGTGTTAGGCAGTGTGTTCTAATTGAATGGCTTCTACGTGAAGTCATCAGAGAAAATTTGCCTATAGTATTTAAGAATGCAGGGTATCACAAGTGTTGTGTGATTATTGATTGCACTGAAGCTTATATTGAACGACCAAAATCTCTACTTGCACAAGCTTCAACTTGGTCTGATTATAAACAACATAATACTTTTAAGTTTTTTGTTGGAATTTCTCCTAATGGAATTATCACTTTTTTATCTGATTGTTATGGTAGAAGATGTTCTGATAATTTTATAACAAAAGATAGTGGTTTTTATGACTTATTAGACTGTGATGATGGAGTCATGGCAGATCGTGGATTTCAAATATAAGAAGAACTTTTGTTAAGATTTTGTACTTAATTCGTTCCTCCAGGTGCTCGTCTTAAATGTCAAGTGATTGCATCGGAATGCAAAAAAAAACAAAAAAATAGCTAACTTGAGTATACAGGTAGAAAGAGTAATAAATAGATTGAAAACCTATAGAATTTTAAAGAATGTTTATCCTTTAACTATGCTGCTTCATGTCGATGATATTGTGAGGGTGTGTGCAGCATTATGTAACTTAAAACCTGTGTTGGTCAATAATGCAAGAGATGGAAATATGAAAACTTAAAATAATAGTTTATTTGTATTTTTCACAATATATTTTTTGAAAAGAAAGGCTTTTAGGTTTTACATGAGTCCTTTGTTTCTCTAACAGGGTTTGGGGCAAGAATTCCTCTTATTTTAGAATATACTTAACACTGGGAGTAAACAATTTTGGTTAGTTTTTTTGCCAAGTTTTATTTCAATATTTCCACACTTGTGTGGTTTGGATTTAAATGCAATTATGCTTCATGTTTGCTCTAGAATGCCATTTATAGTTAAGCAATTTTTTACCCTTCCTGATGTTAACATAAAGCAGGTTACACTAGATTACAGGTTACCAGTGTCAGGGTGACCTGAACTAGTTGTTAAATAACATTAAGTTTTTAAATTTTGCTTACATATTGATTAAAATGCATATGAATAAAAAATTGCATATGATTAAAAAATGTTTTAATTTTAAGTTTTTATTATTGAAATAATTTCAGGTTCTAAAAATTGGGAAGACACATAATAAACACAATGGGAATGTAAGAAAGGAGGTGGGTATGAATACACAATGTAATTTTTAATATAGTGAATGGTTTCAAAGACTTAATGCTAATCACTATTTTAAATGCAAACTTAAAATAGTGATTAGCATTTTACACCTTTTAAATAGTGATTATTGCTAATCTTATTTAAAAGGTGTAAAAAATTGAGTCAATGTTCATTGAATAAATTATTGATTTTGTGATTTCCACAAAATTTTGAAAAATTTTTAAATAACATTTTACAAACAACGTGAAACCTTATTAATCATTAGCTAAACACTCCAGCGAAGGAATATGAAAAAAAAATCTGCTTATAAATTAATAATAATCTTATATTTATTTCTAAAAATATATCAAAAATCAAAATAATAAATCAAAAATAATATACATTTATTTCAGACCTCACTGATTTCAGAATCTGTGTTTTTGTTGGGGTTCACACCCCATACAACTTCCAATTTCCAACCCTAATGGTTCACTACCATAGAAAAGTCATTATAAAATGCATTCTGGAACAGACTTATCTTGCTTTGTTTGCCCATGTGAACATACAATGTTCATTATATCTAAAATAAAGTTGAACAACATTTTTTGATATTTTTTTGAAAAGGTATCCCATCTCCAGTTAGAGGTAATAATTTCGATATAACCGTCGCTTATAAAAATAAAGTGATTTTTAATTTTGAATGCCTAAAATGTTATAAAGCTAAAGCTAAAGGGTTTTATCACTTATTACTGATAATAATTTTGTTCTGTTTTATTTTTTGGTTTGGGTGATTGTCATGTTGCCTACAAAACAATTTTTTAGTGTTATGAGAATCATGTATTTCCCATTCCCTTTATCAATCATTAGACAGTGAAAATTTTTAAAAGCTACATCGACTTTTTCTATTAAAACAAACTATCAAAACAAACAAAAAGGTAGATTTAAAACAATAAAAACATCTAGAAATGTATTCATATTTTTTTTTTAATCAAATAAAAAACACATTGCAGTCTATTGATTAAAAATTGTGCTCAAATAATAATTATAGTAATACTCTTTAAAATTACACTTGATTGCATCCATATTTATATTGTCAAATTTAATATGTTCGATAAAATTTCCATGAGGTGTCCACACAATGAAATATGAATGACGGTGCTTTGTAACAGCCATTTGTACAAGGCATTGCATATAATATGCATGATTTTTGTTTAAAGAAATACCAAAATCGCTTTTAGTCAAATATGGAGGATTTACGCTTGGATCAAGTGGGGAAAAGTAATTTATAGAAAAAGGACACTTTACTTTAAGACATGCAGGTTTACAACACAAACAAGTAACAATACGATCAGGACTACCACCAATAAAAGGAATATCTTTGACTAAAAATAGTCCACAATTATGCAATACTACACCTTTATGACTAATTTTTAAAATTTCATAAAAACAATTAACAGCATTTTCTTCCATTTCTCTACCATACTTTATTGCGGGTATGTTTGGATTAACAAATGACATGCCAGATATGCGCTGATTTAATTCCCACATATCTGCAGCTAATTTATTATTTTTGTTCATTTTTGCCCAAACATCATAACTTTTTGAAGCCGTTATAACACCTTTTCTAAACTTGTAACAGTGTATATTGTTATTTTGTATTTTGGTTAACTGCTCAATTTCTTCAATATTTTTTAGTGTCATATGAGTTGTTAAATTTTTTTCAAAAGTTATCTTTTGACATTACCAGTATATCATCAATACTCATTAGGTTTGATTGGCAAGTACTAATGTCATTTACAACTTCTAATTTAAGTCAATCTCTGGTTTAGGTATAGCATTGAAGAGGATGGAATTAGGTGCAATTTCTTTTAACGCTTCAGCAATATCCTGGAGATTAAGCTTTGTAATAGTATCAGAAATTGGAGTAAATACTTTATGCAAATTGTCTACAAGCGATCTTTTTTTTTTACAGTGATGAGAAAAATCTTCTCTATTAAAATCTAGATTTTAATTTTAACAGGCAAAACATCTGTATGGTTTGGAAGCCATTGATTTGAACAAACTGGATTTGTTAAACCCATTCTAACAGCAGCTTCAATTTTAAACATTGCTGCAGCAACATAATTACATGTTTGACTCATTCCTGCCATACATGTGCAGTGACAAGATCGGATTTTTGCATTTTCTTTTTCTATAATTAACCACAGATTATGGTATGTGTCATTAATACGTTGTGGATGCCTGCATTCACCTTTTATTGCACAAAATGGACTTTCTTCACTTAGGCAGTGATATGCCAACTTTTGAAGTCAATCTGTTTTATAAAAACTGAAGGCTTTTGAATATTTATAATCATTCAAGTCATTGCTACTGAATATTGACGGGTTAAACATCAAGTAGTTAAAAATATCTGGATATAAAACCATAGGCCAATATTTAATTACTATCTTCTGCAGGTAACTAACCATCTGTTAATATAAAAGAATCACTCAATTTAATATTGTTAACTAAAAGTTTTTTTTGATATTCGTCTTTGAGTTCTTCGACTGCCTCAGTAGCAGTTAGTACAGGCTCAATAAAATTTTTCATTGCTGAAAATACACGAGCAACCAATTCTCTCTTTGTTTCAGAAACACGCAAATTTCTAGGTCTTAAATATTGCTTCAATTCACATACTTTCATTTTATTAATCATATCTAAATCCATTATGTGTATAATCTAAGGATAATCAGTATAAACAAAAGAAAATCTTAAAATGTCAGCACGATGTTTACTCAAAAATTTTGAAAGTTTTTTATTTTACCCACTTAATTCGAGACCAGGCTTCAAAATTTTTACGCGGTTTTTCTTGATTGAATAGACATTTCTCTAATTCGATTGCGCAACAAATTTCTCAGCTTGAAAAGGAGGCCAATAAGGGCAAAAATGTAAACAAACTAAATTCATAGTTTTGCTCCTAAATAAAAATGTCTTATTCCAACTCAAGCACTATCAGACCAAAAGAGGTGAAAAAAGGTGGAAGAGGAATGTATTGCAGTATACCACTGTGGAAGTTCGTTTTATAATGAAAATATGGAAAAGACGAATATTGGTCTATTTTCTTTCCAGAATAAAATAAAAATAATCAACAACCAATTAAAAAATGGTATTTTTTGCCATTAAAGTTTTGAAAAAGATGATAATTATCTCAACTCGTTCACTGGCATGAGAAAAGAAAAATTTGACATTTTATTTGAATAATTAAATCCGGGAAATGAATGTGAAAATATGAAGTATTATTATCCTGAGCATCATTTTGAGGAAAAGTTACCTAAGGAACTGTTTACATCTTCTTCACCAGAATCCAAACCTGGTCCTAGGCCAAAAATGAAATCGATTGACCAACTATTTATGTTTTTAACATGGCTTAGGCTTGGTTTTTCTTTAAGTTTTACTTCCTGGTTATTCAAGACACCAAAGTCTACTGTGTCAAGATATCTTATTACATGGTCAAATTTTATGTATCTTAAACTTGGCGCAATACCAATTTGGCCTAATTTAGATCAACTAAAACTTAACATGCCAAAATGCTTCAAAGAGACTTATCCTAAAACAAAAGTTATTATTGACTGTACTGAGTTGCTTTGTCAAAGACCTTCTAGCCTTACAGTTCAGAGTAGTTTGTTTTCTCACTATAAGCATCATGTTACCTTTAAAGGATTAGTTGGAATTGCTCCTTCAGGTGCAATAACATTTGTTAGTGAACTATTTGTTGGCTCTATTTCTGATATTGAACTAGTTAAGCAATCAGGACTTTTACAAAGAGAGCTATGGGATAGTGAAGATAGTGTAATGGCTGATAGAGGTTTTATAATAAGTGATCTGCTTAAGCCTCTTGGTGTAACACTTAATATTCTAGCCTTTTTAAATGGAAGAGATCAATTATTACACGAAGAAGTTATAGAAAGTCAAACAATAGCAGCTTTACGAATTCATGTAGAACGTGCTATACAAAGAATTATGAAAAATAAGCAAATCCGAAATGAAATACCCCTAGTTTTAAATGGATCTATAAATCAAATTTGGACTGTAAGCTGCTTGTTGTCTAATTTTATGGATCCTCTAATAAAACAGTAAAAATATATGTAATGTAATATTTATTATTGAGATACATAGCATGACAAAAAATATTTTTTTTAAAAAAAACTTATCTATAGCATCTCAAAAATAACATTTATCAAAATTAAGGTTTACAATAATAATTCCTTCATAAACGAAAACAATAAAAAAACATTGTGTTAGTCCAGATAAACCCATTGCTATTTGGACTTGTGTGTAATAGCCAAATGAGTGATTCTTCTTAGAAATAGTTCCCCATTAGGTAATAAACCAATATAAAACCCTTCCTCCTTAACAAGATCATTAGGGTTTGCATTTCTTTTTGTAAAAGGACACTTGATTTCCATCAAATAGGCTTTTGAGTCGATTAACACAAGTCCATCTGGACTTGCACCGAGCCAAGGGATACATGGTTGAACTAATAATCCAGTTTCAACCATTTTAATATTTTTGTTTAATTTGTAAGTCATTACATTTTTAAATTTTTCTTTTGCAACATCTTCATTAATTTTACCATGACTTAACATGTCTTTGGCATTTGTGAATTTTTTGTTGTATTCTGTAAATTGTTTTACCAAATATTCAAAGTTATTTTTCCTACTATAAATCTTATGCGCATTTGATGCTGTTATTCTATATTTTGTCTCATTAAACCATTGTGGACATTTACAGTTTTTTTTTGTAAGAGTATACTTTCGTCTTGTGAAACAACAATTTTTTTCATAAACTCAATTTCTTTTAAAGAATAAAGCCATGGGTCAGGTATATATAAAAAGTTACTAGGTAAAGTAAGAGTAGAAATCGTAATAGCTTTGTTTTCAACATTTTCACATAAGTGAGATAAAACAATAAAGTTTCGTTCAACTGGTAAAAGTTGGTATGAAAGAGGGGATCCTAAACACTGCATGCCAAATTTTGTCTTTTCTGAATCAATAGTAATTTTATCTGGAATAATATGCGCATAGCCAATATTTGAATTAATTTTTTTTTAATTGTTTTGCAGCTTCATTATAGCATTTAAGTTTCCAATATAATCAAAATTACGCCTTGCCTCATATATTGTTGCGTTGATTTCTTTTTTTGTAAAGTTAGCATGAAGTACGTTTTTCATTACAGGATATACTTTTTTCTCTTTCTCACCAGGCACTCCCCACTTTCTTAAAGAACTTGTGCAAGCGATTTCAGAAGGAACAACTTAAAGGGAATTTAAAGAGTATTCTGCTAACTCCAACAGTAAAGCCATTATGTGATTACAATAACCACTCAAACCAGCAGGGCAACTGCAAGAAGCCTTAACAACTTGACTACTTTTGCGATTTATGTAAATTTGCATTTTTCTAATCATTTTTTTCATGCTTGCTCGACATGCACATTTAACAATGAAGCATTTTTGTGTTCGAACTGTGAATAAACTGTCAACAGAAATATAACGTTCTTGTTTAAATTTTAGTCCTCTTTCTAAAGTTTTTTTAATAGTCTTTCCTTTTATTTTACCGCATTTGCTCATATGGTTATCAATTTCGCGTTTGGTAAACACTGGTAGAAACTCCAGAGATTTTCCCCAGCACTTAATTTCTTTTAAAAATGCATCTTTTTTCGATTTTAACTCTCCAAATCACTATTTATATCTTGCAATATTAAATTTTGAATTTTATCAGTTTTAAAGCAGTTACTTTTATCATTATTAATTCTATTCATAATTTTTTAGATAGATAAATAAAAGTATGAGTTTTATTAAAGCAATTTGTCGCTACTTGTTAACATTTTTGTCCTTACTGGCCTCGTTTTCATGTTGCAAAAACAGTTGCGCAATTGAATTTGAGAAATGTCTATTGGTGTTTTGAGGATTTACGAAACTCAGACCATTTAGATTAAAAACTTTAAATCGGGTTTTTTGCTACTTATAATTTTGTTTGCACTTTTCAACAATTTCTTAATGTACCGTTTTACGAGTCTCTCTTAAAAACTGATTAGCTTTAGGCTGAAGCTTATCGCTAAAAATCAATCTGCCGCAATCCTGACCTCGCCAAGTAAAAATGACATATGGAAGCCGAGAAAGCTCATCACAAAAATATCTTTCAAATCCAGAAATATATTTTAAATCCAGAAATATATTTTAAATCCAGAAATATATTTCAAATCCAGAAATATATTTTAAATCCAGAAATATATTTTAAATCCAGAAATATATTTTAAATCCAGAAATATATTTCAAATCCAGAAATATATTTTAAATCCAGAAATGTATATTTTAAATCCAGAAATGTATATTTTTAATCGCAAAATATTGTTTAAATCGCGAAATATATTTTAAATCCAGAAATATATTAGAAATCGCAAAAAATATTTCAAATCGCAAAAAAAATTTGAAATCCAAAAATTTATGTTTAAAACCCAGAAATATATTAGAAATCGCAAAAAATATTTCAAATCCAGAAATATATATTTTGAATATAATACTTTCACATGTTTTGAAATACAAAAAGCTGATAATAATAACAAACAAACGAACAAAAACGCAGTTTTAGTAAATAAACAATTAAAAGCGATCAAGTGATAAAATGTTTGTTAATTTTTGTTTTTGTTGTGGAAGAAAATATTCATTCAATACTGAGTTTTTTTGCCCTCGGTGCGGGGAACGAAGGAAACGATCAGAGGAAGAAACATCAATTCAAAACAACTTCACTGAAGAATTGATTAAGCATTACTTTCACAAAGGAATGCAATACAAAAAAATTGTATTCCTGTTAAGTCGCTACCATGGTTTGGAAATTAGTGTTAGTACATTAAAACGTTATTTAAATAAAATGGGTTTAAAAAGAAAAAATAGATTATTTGAAAACACTTCGATTCGCCGCCTAATAGAAACAGAGGTGCAAACCTTTGCCGGAATTAAAGGTTACCGCAGTATATGGCACACATTACGCATAAGTTACGGTATCTCCATCAACAGAGAGACGTCATGAACATCCTCAGGCAAATTAACCCTGCGCAATCCGAAAATAGGAAACATTGTAAACTAAAACGAAGTGTTTATAGTTCCCAAGGTCCAAATTTTGTGTGGCATGTTGATGGCTACGATAAATTAAAGCCGTATGGTTTCCCTATTCATGGATGCATTGATGGGTTTTCTCGTTAAATAATTTGGTTAAAACTTTGCCGAACAAATAAAGACCCAGTTATTCCGGCTCATTTCTATCTTAATGCATTGAAAGTATTAAAAGTGTGTCCAGATACTCTGAGAACTGATTGCGGCACAGAAAACGGCATTATTGCAGCAATACACTCCTTTGTACATAATGATATCAATGCACACAAGTACGGCAGTTCGCAGTCTAGCCAAAGAATTGAAAACCTATGGTCGAACTTGAAAAGGACATATACAACATCTTTTATAGAATATTTTAAAAGAATGGTTTTTAATGATGATTTAAGACTTGGAGATTGTTTCCAAATGGAATGCGTTTGGTTTAGTTACTCTGAATTAATACAATTTGAGCTTGATAAAATGAAAGAGGAGTGGAATTCCCATAATATTAGAAAGACCCGACATGCAAATGTTCATGGGATACCAGACGAAATGTTTTATTTACCAGAGCTCTATAACTACCAGCAATGTGGAGTAAATATTAACGATGACATTCTTTCCGGAATACTAAGTCAAAGAGATATTCACGCTAAAGCCTACGAGATTTTGAATAAGAGCGACTTGCAACTTGTTAACTACTTTAAAGACGTAGTAAACGAAAAAGGACTAAAAATGCCGCCGAGAAACTGGGATGAAGCAAGAAAAATTTATAACACAATTATTTATCAAGCAATACAGTTTCGTGTTTTCAACTATAAATATATAAAAATACACAAACAAGCTATATAAGTATATATATGCATATATATATGTATATATATATATATATATATATATATATATATATATATATATATATATATATATATATATAAATATATATATATATATATTTATTTATATATATATATATACATATATATATATATATATATATATATATATATATATATATATATATATATATATATATATATATATATATATATATATATATATATATATATATATATATATATATATATATATATATATATATATATATATATATATATATATATATATATATATATATGTATATATATATGTATATATATATATATATATATATATATATATATATATATATATATATATATATATATATATATATATATATATATATATATATATATATATATATATGTATATATATATATATATATATATATATATATATATATATATATATATATATATATATATATATATATATATATATATATATATATATATATATATATATATATATAAAGTAAGAAATGTCTTCACGCATTTAAATAAGTCCAAAATGGTAACCGTTTTTTACAGCTAATGAAAGTGCTTCCTTCATAGTGTTTTCTGTATTTATATGAACTGGCAGATTTAACTGTATGTCACAAGTGCTGACTGTTGGTAAACATTTGCATTCTTTATTATTATATGTTAACGGACATCCATGAACAAAAACTATAGAAATATCTTTTGGAAGCCCTATTGCGGGAATGGACGGCGAGCCAGTCAAAAACTGCAAAATATCATTTGATGAAGGATCCGCCAGTTCTTAATAATAAAAATACATAATCTGCTGCTTTGTTTTTGAGAGTATTATAATAAATTTAACAGTAAAAAGTGTCAATACCAGTATTGAAGCTATACTCAACAACATCAAGAAAAGCTTTGTATGTAGAAATTTCAAATGATTTTTTGTTCCCTCCGGATTCGCTAAACTGCGGTTTTAACATAAGTATAAAATCATCAAATTTCCATATAAAACTTTCGTTTGCACAAAATAAAACTCGCATGATATTTAAATTTTTTTTTATTACTTCATAAAGGCCATACACTTGTAAACCAATCGCAATTTCTCCAACTACAGGTAAAAGTTGCTCTATTTTTCCTTTAATTAACATTGATCTAATGAAAAAAGAAAATAAAAATTGAACATATGAAGATATTTAAAATTAAGTTAAATGAATTGAGGCTAAAGGTTTATTAAATGATGAAATAACAAATGATCTTTGAAGATCCTAATTGATTTATTCATAGGGTATTATAGGTAACTATTGACTTACTCTAAAAGAGCATGTTTATCATCAATAGACGATTTTCTTGGATCACTTCTATATCCAATTATTTCAAGTGCATCCATTCCTTCTTCAGTACATAGCACATTAGTTAAATAGTCATCTGTAGTTGCAAATAAAATCTAAAAAAATTTATATTAATTCAATTTAAAATTAAATAATATTATTCAATAGATACACTATTTATAATTGAAATCAATTAGATTTTATTTATAATTTTTATATATTTTTATTTGTCACAGAAATAGCAAGAAAATGAGATATTTTACCTTATCAAAAATACTTTTTAAATTTGAAGATTCATCTAAAGCCTTTGGACAACACCGTACTGCAGTTGAAATGCCATTCACCATAAGCTCATAAACCCAAGGGGACAAAAAAAAAGGTGCAGGTCCGCCATTCACAATAGATGCTACAAATAAATAGCCTATAGTTTTTACTGTGCCATCTGCAACACTAAGAATACCACATGATGGTACATAGCCAACCAAATCATCGCCAGTAAAGAACCTAATTTTAATTGATTTTAAAGCTTCTAAATACAAAACAAATATTGTAAAGAAAAAAAACTATAATTCTTGAAGCATTAATTTTAGTTTATTAATTAAATCTTAAACAAATAAATTGCAAATTATAACTGTTAAATTGCTCTTTTATTTTTGAGTCAAAGTTATAGAAAACACTAAAATTACCTTAAGAATTATCTTTTTGAGAAAAGATCAGTAACAAAAAATAAAAAACAATTAGTCAAAAAAACTTTGAATAATCAACCAAAACTTTTAAAAAACAACAATTAACACTATTGATACATATAAACAGAGTTGTTAATCCTCAGGCTGCTTTTAATTAAAAGAATTAATTCCTTGGTCATGAAACATTTTAGCCTTGTTGTTTGCTAAGTAACATTTAACATTAGCCTTGCTATATTTTAGCCTTATTAACAACTCTGCATATAAATTTAACCTGAATAGAATTCTCGAGACACTCCACTTGTATCGATAGCAGGCTCACCAACAAATGAAAACTTGTATAAATTGTGGATTTTATCCTTGTTCCAACTTTTAGTAAAAAATTTGTGGAAGTCTTCAAATTCAAATTGACGACGAACATTTATTCTGACATCGCCATCATGTATATCACTGAGTTGTTTTATTAAAACTAGAATCTTTTTTTTAAGATCATTTATATTCTCAGGTTTATCAAAATCTTGTTCTTTTTCATAACTATTAGTCAAATCAATTGAGTCATCAGAATCAATCAAATATACTATTTGCTTTTCTTTATTTTTTAAACAATTATCTGCATGTTGTTCAAGCACTGAAAAAGGAAACCTTTGATTACATACAGGACAAAGACCGCAGCTGACGCCTGAACTAGATTGACTGGCTGTTTGTTGGGAAGAAATATCTTGAAAAATTTTTTACAGATTTACTGTCAACAACACCAAAATAAGAAAATGATTGATTATTTTCAATAGATAATTTTTCTGGAAAATCTCCAAGATAATTATTTGACAAAGTGTTATTATTGAAATCTTCACTATGATATTGAAAACAGAAGTTATCTAAATCCGAAATAGAGCTGTCATTATTTAAATCGGTGACTTCTTTATTTTCCAGATTTAAAATACTTTGCTTACACAGATATAAGTCTATCTTTGAAAATGGTTTGTTTAAACTTTCTTTATACTTTTCAACTGTAAACAAAGAGTTAGTGCCTGGAACATATTCAGGTTTTTTTTTATCAGGATATAGTAGTACCCAGTTATCGTTATAATCAAAAAATTGGTTATGATCTGCATGTTTTCCACAAGCGATTTCAAAAACCATCTTTGCATTACCTTGCCTTGGGACATGTATAGGCAATTTACTTCCCCTCACAATGTTAATTTCATCTTTACAATTATCTTTCATAATACCAACATTTATTGTTACATTCTCAATAGAACGACTTTTTTTAAGAGAGTTATTGGAAATTATCGGTGCAAAAGATTTTCTTTTGAACCTAGATTTCCTCTCGACAGTTTTATACTTTTGAAAGTCGCTAAGAGCAAATTTTTCATTTATGCGAATATTTACTTCCTCTTCTTCTTTAACCTTTTTCTTATTTCCACAAAATGTACAGAAATTGTCCTCAAGCTTTAAATTAGCTCCACATGAGGCACAATAGAACGCCATTTTTATAAAATTCACATATGATAATTTGAAAATATCGCGATTTGAAATATATTTTGCGATTTGAAATATATTTCTGGATTTAAAATATATTTCTGGATTTAAAATATATTTCGCGATTTAAACAATATTTTGCGATTCAAAATATACATTTCTGAATTTAAAATATATTTCTGGATTTAAAATATATTTCTGGATTTGAAATATATTTCTGGATTTAAAATATATTTCGCGATTTAAACAATATTTTGCGATTAAAACTATACATTTCTGGATTTAAAATATATTTCTGGATTTGAAATATATTTCTGGATTTGAAAGATATTTCTGGATTTTAAATATATTTCTGGATTTAAAATATATTTCTGGATTTGAAAGATATTTTTGTGATGAGCTTTCTCAGCTTCCATAATGACATGAGCTAGTTATGCTCAATTTAAAAGCCTTCTTTGTTATATATTTTTTAGGTATCTACCATCATAATAAATCCACGTTTTTAACGTTTGAATAATAACTTTTAGTATTAGCAAATATTCAACGAAATTTATAATAAAATTATAAATATCTTCATACAAAGTGCTTGTTTAGACATTTAAAAGGTTTTAGTAATGATAAAAAAGAGAAGAATTTGGTCTAGCATATGTCTAATATTTGGCCCATTGTGCACTGGTCGAAAAAAAAACCTAGATCCTAAATTTTATAGATGTAAACTATGTTTACATATATATAATAAAAAAATTATGAAATAATGGATAATAGACTTTTGCCGCCCGCATACTTTTCCGTTTTTTTTAGGACGAGAAACAACTTTGCAGTTCAAAGTGGTGGTAAGTCTAATCTACATCAAACTATTTCTAAACTTATTTTACTCTTTAACACTTTTAGTAAACGGCAGTAATAAATCAAATTAAAGTTCTGGTAATTAGTAAAACGCAAACTTTTTTGCGATCCATAAATCTATTCCTTGTTAAATTATAATTAATTTAAAAAGAAACAGTCCAATTAAAATAAATTATATCGAATACCATTACATTTAATTTAAAAAATTGATATATCAATGTTTTAAATATCATGGCTATTGCCATAATATTTAAATCGAGGCAATGCAAGTACTCAAGGTAGTCAGTCAAATGCTAACTGGGTATTTTATAGCGAACCAAGAAATTTGAATAAATTTCTTGGTTCGCTATAAAGTACGCAGTTTGCATTTGACTGATTACCTCGAGTTCTTGCCTTGTGGTTAGTTTTAAATTTACTATACTATATATGGAACTATTTAGTGTTTATTTTTACATTATTACTTATTTTTATGTTTTCTACATAATAAAAGTATCTTTATGATACAAAACAGCTGCGTCACATTTCTTCAGGTGTTTTTGGAAACTTAGCACGGCTGTTTCAAGCGAGCTTTATGGCTTCTTGTTATTTTTTAAAAAATATTTACGTAAGGGGTGTTACTTTTGAAACATTAGAGATAATTTTGTTCTGTAAAAAGAATAAAAACACCAATAAGATGTTTTGTTAAATGACGTTCCACAGATATACTAAAAAACTTCTTTAATTTTAGAATAAGCGCGGCAAATGTTGAACTTGGATAAATATTAGTAATTTGATGTTACTTTTTATCAAAAAAAACTCAGAAAGAATATATTTTCAATATTTATTATTAAATGTACACATTATTGAACTATTATAAAAATAAAAAAATCTTACTTAAATGTTTAAGATTAACTAAAACAGACGTTATTTTATGCCAGTAAAGCTAATCGAATTTTCGCAAAATTACAAAAATGCTGTTAAAAGGTCGATAAACTGTTACATGACTAGTTTGTGAAAATTGATTCCATTAGGCAGGTAATTATGTACATTTTATTGCAACAGTAATACTATACTTAAAAAAATAATACTATAAGTATAATAAACCTGGTATAATAAGACCTGGTGAGCCTATATAGATGTTTGATCTAGGTCTAATACGTTTTACAAAAATTTGGAAGACTTAGTACAAAATAAGGTTGTTTTTATTTTATTATAAATTACACCATGAAGGCGTGACAGGGCTTGTCACTCGGACTAGTACTACATATTTTTTTATTTTTTGTTTGTTCTCATACTTTTTTTTCAAAGTTGTTAGTCCTTGGCCTTGCCTTAAGTTTAAAAAATTATTTCCTTGGCCTTGACTTTACACCACATGTTTATGAATTATGAATTTTCTTGACTATTTTATAAACATTGTTATTTCATAATTTCTTCAACTTAAACTACAGTTGACCACTAGCATGAAATTTTAATAAAATTATGTAGTGCAAATTTTAAACAATGTTTGATTATAAAATAGAGCATCTCTAAGACCTTGTAAAAAAAAAAACAGAATATAATTGAAACGTCTTTCTTGCTCTTCTCAACATAAAAATAACAAAGAAATGAAAGTATTATTATAAAATTCACTTCAAATTCTACAAATAATACTATTTCACTCATTTTCACTCAAATAATACTATTTCACTTTCATTTTCAAATAATACTAAATCACTTCAAATTCTACAAATTCTATAGTCTATATAACTAATATATAACTAATAGTCTATATAACTAATACTGTAATATAATAATGGTCACAGTAAACACTTTCGCAATGTTTCTTAGTAGCTCTAATAATTGGCTGAGAACAGCATTCGTCACAGTAAGGACAATAGTTTTTTTTTGTGTTGGTATTGGTAGGTCTGCTGAACAATAAACACAAATGTCAACATAGTTAGGTGAGTAGTACAATGGTTCAACTGGTTTACTACAATTCATTGATCGAACAAATACAACATTTTGCAAACCTTCAAGCAATTCGGCATCCTGCAGTAAAGAACCACAAGAAAAACACAGACCATCTAGAGCATATTCAAGCAGTTGCCTCTCATCTGTTTTAAGTTTTCGTGAAGCATAGGTTATTCTCCACATACCACACTCATGACAACACAGCATCATGCCACTGTTCTTGGCATGTTGTAGACTCGCATAGAAAGGAAGTGAACTGCGTATACCTTTCTTAAGTGAAGGTCTATCAATATCAAAAGTTTCTGTCCCATGAATATCCTCAAAAGATTTGAAATGACCATCATCTTTCATCATAGGGTCTAGCAATAATTTGATTTAAGAGAATTCTTCAGTAGACAGCCTCGACCTGCCACAGATTTCACATTCCGGATTACTGCACTTTTTTACTTCAAAGAAATAGTGATGTTGACGACAACATTGACTAAAAAATTGTTTTCAAATTGGTGTCAAACAATTCAGACTAATTTTTTCACTATATTTCTTTATAATAATACTGGACTTAATAGTAGTAGTAGTGCGCTTTCGAGCCTGTTTGACACGATACTCTTGGCAACCATTGCATCCGAGTTTGTGACGAGAAAGAGTTTTATCTTTGCTTTAAAAGAAAACGTGAGCAAACGTGAAACTCACATCGTACGTACCTAAAATTTATGTTATGTAATGTTAAAACTTGCTTGAACATATATCAAGTTCAACAGTTTGATTTTCTCTTAAGAACTGCATTTCGTCAACCTCTGCTTAATTTCTGATCTTTTGCATCTATATCTGTTAAAAACAATTTTTATATATTTTCGAATCTTCGATACTTAACGCGTCAGCGTAGTCGAGTGGTTTGCGCGCTGGGCTTCGGAACAAAATAGCCGTGGTTCGAGCACTACTGTTAGCAACTACTTTTTTAATTTTTTTTAAGATTTTTTTAAATTCAAATTCAAATTCTTATAAAGTTTTACAGATATTGTATATAGACAATATATGTAAAGATATTAATCATAAGTTTGATCCTCGCACTTTGACACAGAACCAACTTCGCTAAAAAAAAAATCGTTCACAAATTTCAAAATTTTGTTTTTTCGTGAAGTCCTTCAACACTTAAACAACTTTCTTGACATATTCCAAGTCTCTGTGAGAAAAAACTTTGTTGATCGAATATACAAAAACAGAAATTCAGCTTTTTTGTATATGATAAATATCGCCATGGTACAAAGTTAAACAAAATGCCAATCGAGTTTTACTTTCACGCGGTTTTAATCAACCACGAGGCTTAGTTAAATGCTAAAAAAAAGTGAAAATTTAGGGCTTAAAAAAAGGAGTTTTTACAAATTTTTTCTTATATCTTTTTAATCCTTGACTTTATTACATTGATATTATTAGATTTATTACATTGATAATAACATCATATTATTTTTGTTAGATTATTACATTGTTTGATGTTTTTTTTAGATTTATAAATTTCAAAAAAATAGAAAATCATGTCAGGTAGCATTTATTTTATTTGTTCAGTAAAAAGTCGCCAATTATGTTTTATTTATTTGTTAAGTTTTTTGTTTATTTGCTTTCCATATACTTTACTCTTTGCTTTAAGTTAAACCACATTTTTTTAAGTTATATGTATTTTTTTTTATATTTTATTCTGAACATTTTTTTTATTTAGTGGTGCAACCACAACCTGGTAAGAATTTTTTCTATACTTATTAATAGCCCCTTAAACCTACAAAAAACCTATTTTGTATTTGTTGTGCCATTGATACCATTTTTTTCTCTTTTACTTCATTATTTATTTTTAATCTGTTTTTTTTTTAAGCAGATGCACAACAACAACCACATTCTGGTAAGGTTTTAAAAAAAAAATATTATGCGTGTTTATTTTTAATACTACACATGTTTTAGTTTGTAGTGCAACAACAACCTGGTAAGAAATTAATTTCGTTGGTTTTTTTATGATCTTTTTTTTATAAAAAACTTATTTTTATTTGTTGTGCTTTTGATACCAATTTGTTTTTCTTATACTTAATTATTATTTTTTTATCTTTTTTTATATTTTAACTAGAAACAAAACAATCACAATATGGTAAGCAAAAAACCTCTTGTTTTATTGTATGTAAATCTTTTTTTTAAAAGTTCTTAATAATTAGTGTATTTTCTTTTCCTTTACTATTGTATTTTCTTTTAAATCT